TTACCCTAGAAGCCCAATCTGAACTTCCACAGAGCAACAAAAGGAAATCATCACATGGCTTGGTGATAGCCAAGGGGTAGAAGTGGCTGCTCGAAGAGAAAGATCAGTGGACTCGGAGTCAAAGGCTGCCCTTGAGTCTCACATCTTGGGTGCTTGCGCCACTGCCTTGGCATAAGAATCAGGCGAAATGCTCAGCATGGAAGAGAAGGGGGCCCACATTTAGAGTGCTTATGTATGCAGCACTGTGCTGAAACCCCGCATTTTTGTTGTCTATCTCACTGAACATTTGCAGCCACTCTATGAAGTCAATTCCTTCCTAATACTTTTACCGTTTACAAGTGGAGAAGCTGGGCTTCCGAGGAGTGAAAGATCTTTCCCACATCCACAGCTGAGCAGCAGCGCTGATGTCTGGGCCCAGATCTGCCTACCTCGAACCTATTTTCCATCACCCCGCCACCCCTCGTGTGTTTGCAATGCTGTGGAGCTCGCAGCTGTTATCCCTGACCCTTCCAAAGGCAAGTTTACGTCTTCCGGGTCTCACTTTATGCTTTTGACGCTGCCTCCTGGGGTAACTTCCTTGATGTCCAGCCTCACCCCTTGGTCAGGACGGCAGCAGTGCTCTCACTCCTTCCTCCAGCATGGTGTCTGTCTGCCTATTAGTTTGTCGTGGTCGCTTTCTCAGTCTGCTTTACATCCCTCTAGCACAATCGCTCTACTACCTCCCACTCTGGGGACTGGGAAGTCCAAATCCAAGGCCAAGGCCCAGACACTGGGAGGATTTCTCTATTGTGTCTTCATGTGGCTGAGGTAGAAGGGCAAGAGGAAGCGAGCCCCTACCCCTGTGCCTCGCATAGCAGCACTACTTCCTCTCAGAGTAGAGATCTCCTGACTGACGCCATCCCAAGAAAGGCCCCAACACTTGAGTTTTGGAGGATGCATTCACACCCTAATACAACACCGCAACCTGGACAGCAGAAATGGAGTAGCTCGTGGTTCTGGGTGCTAGAAATCCAAAGGCCAAGTGACAGCAGGATTCCTTCCAGCTGAGGACACTGAGAAGAATCTGTCCCCTGCCTCTCTTTGGCTTCTGGTGCTTTGTGGGTACCAGGGTCTGAAGGTTCTGTTCTCCCCTTGGCCCCCCAATTCATCTGCTGAAACCAGGTCACCGGTGTGATATGAGCGGGAGGTAGTGTTGTTGGGAGGCGACCTTAGAAAGAATAATGACCTTATGAAAGAGACAGTAGGACAGTGGCCTTTCCTTTCCACTGCATGAGGACAGCATGAATAAGATACTCATGAAGCAGTCTTCCCTCACCAGACACCAAACATGCCAGCAGCTTGACCAGAAACTTGCAGCCTCCAGAATCATGGGAAATATATATCTGCCATTTCTAAGTCACCCTGTCTAAGGTAAGTTTTCATAGTGAGGTGAGAGACTGAAGCAGCTAGCAGTGTTTGGCATTGTTTTGATTGTATAAGCATCACCCTGACTTCTGCCTTCATCTGTATTTTGCATCCCTGAGTGTCCAGATCTGCCCATTTCTATCAGGATATAGTTATATGAGGTTAGGGGCTCACCCTACTCCACTGTGATCCCTTCTTAACTAACTACATCTAAGAATGATCCTACTACCTTAGAAGATCACATTCTGAAGTGTTGGGAATCAGGACTTTAGTCATGAACTTGAGGACAAAAGTCCACTTTTAACCATCAGTAACAGAAGTTTCACACCTGACCCATACAAGCACTCGGGGCACAAGTGCCCAGCATTAAGCATCACACCGTTCTTGATGGCTTGACTCGTTCCCTTTTATGTCTTTCCTTTTCCTTCCTAACACTGAAGTCTGATATTAATGGAAAAACCATTAAAGAAACTATTATCCTATGAGGTAAAGTGAACGCACTCAACTGTAAAAGGAAGACTTATCGATCCATTTCAGTTAAACCTTGCTTGTCTGACACTTTGCAGCGAAGGAATGTGTTTTTATTACCTGGCCAGATAGTTCAGATTTCCGGTCAGTCTTAGTAAAGACCCCTTTTATAATGTTGATAAAATTTTATCACAGAGCTATGAAAACAAGATTAGACTTCATAACTCACATCAGGCCTTGAAAGGGGATGCCTCTATAAATTTCACAGCCCTTATCAAACTTTAGTGCAACAGTTCTGATAATTTTTAAAAAGTTCTACTGAATTCATATATACATCGATGTGCATAGAAATAAATAATATGTGCGTATGTCTTTACATGTACGTAGTTTGTGTATATCTGCACACAATTCTCTCCACCCTCTTTCTCTCCCCTCACAGGAAAGCAGCAAAGGAAAACTTTCTTCACCTATCTGTAAACAGAAGACTGACAGGCTAGTCTTTTAGATTGCTGAAGATTCTGTGAAGTTAGCCAACTTCACTTCTAAAAATTTTTATATTGCTTTTATATCATTCATTTAAAAACTTTAGTCCTGGTTTACCTCCAAAAATCACCTGGAATTTTCAAGGCTAAATTTTGAAGAATTACTGACACTGACATTTACCACAACATACCAGTGCCTAGTAAGACTATAATCAAAGCCAGCCTTAGCCACTGTGACTTTGTGTTCCAGTGGAAACCTGCACCCATTTTTTAGTCTCTTCCCTCTGCAGAAAGCAAGCTGCATACACATTAAATGCATTTTTGTCTCCCCAGGGAGAGAAAAAGAGCCTCTGGAGCAGAGACCCTTGGTTTTATTCACAGCCAGGGTTCTTGCTGAAAGACAAGTGAAGGGAAGGAACCTTGGGTCCCTCTGCCTGTGCACTGGCCTCGGACTAGAAGGACAGCAGGACAGGGCTGTGAGGTCCTTTGTAGACCTCCACTCCAGCCAACCGCTCAGGAGATACCACGGTCCTCAAGTCAGGTTGGAAAGGGTCATAGTGGACTGGCCCTTCCTGCTTTTCAGAGACCAGGACACTTCTCACAATTGTGCAAATGAAATAAATGTCATGGCACAAACTAACACCTTAACATGTACTTGGTGGTAGGGTTTTCATGGTGATAGGGTTTAACAGTCTTAACATGTACTTGGGTGGTACATTTTGTTAAAATTCCAACTATGAAGAATCATAGGAAGAAAGATATAGAATTGCTTGTCAATGAATCAACAATGTTTAGAACATCAGCAGAGCCAACAGGATGTGTCTCATTCCTTCCACTGAGGGTCTTTCAAAACACAGCTCTCAAAATTTACTATAAAAGAAAATATGTCTATAAAAGAAAGTATGTCTAATTTCCGTGATTTTAAATGTTGGGGGGACATAGGATCTGTTCCTCTTAAACAGATGATTTCAAAGCACAATAGGTTGAAGCAGATTCTAACTTTGACCACTGTGATGCATTATTTTGCTGTACTGAAAAACAAGCCATCAAGGTGGTTTCTTAGCATCTTTGGGTATGCGCTACGCATATAGGAATCTTAGGTGGAAAAAGAGAAACATACAAACTTCCTGAGATAGCTGTGCTAATTAGAAGCATTCCTTGGAGAAAACCCTACTATCTGGAAGGAAGAAGCTAATGAAGCTGACATTTCTGACAACCACAAAGCCGTTTTCCTTGCTGCTTTCCCAGGCAGAAGGAGTACATGCTGTTTGCCTTTCGTCTGTGAGGAAAACATCCGGAACGCCACCTGCCCGGCAGGTGGGGACTAAATTTTAGCCAAGACCGGTGACGTCTGCAGCCAGCACCCATGTCACAGCCCTCCGGCTGCAGAAAATGGGTCATGGGGGCGGGGCAGAACCCTCAACTGTCTCACCGCTGCAGGTCTAGTGTACTTCTCTTTTATCTAACGTGGTAACACTGGCCAACACTCAGAGAACCTCTGACTGTTTTTACTCCAATTGTGTTGCTATCTCCCCCCAGTTAATTTGGTTAAAGTTTACTGCCTTCTTGGTCAGCAGTCATGTACCAAGCGCTTGCATGCTTTTAAAAGGTGTTTTGTAGGAACTAACTAAAAGGCAGTAGGTGCTCATTAAGTCTTTGTTAGGCGGCAAACAGAGGAGCTAGATTTCCACCTTGACTGAGCTCCTTAGTAATCTGGAGACATCGATTTTCTCATCTGTGAAATGAGAACAGTAGTATTTCCCTCCAGCCCCCTACACTGTTCCTAACCTCAGATTAGATAAATCACAGGAAAACACTTTTCCTTCTTTCTTATTTTTAAAGAAAAAGTAGTAGTCTTCAGAATTAGGTATACAGAAATAGGGAAAAATAATTTTCTCTCTGTCCTTCTGATTCTTAGTTGGGAAGAACTTTTGTAATCAAAGTCAGACAAGAGAAAATAAGCTTATTAATATGTATTCTTCTCTCTGACAGAGCGAGGCTCCCTTTCTAGGGGCTAAATTCCCTTACAGAACAGTCATTTCTATCCTGTTTCCACAATTCCACCTGTGCCTGCTATTTCTCAAAATAACCAGCTCCACATAAGCCTTCTTCAGAGAGGCGTTGTCTTATTTACTTTTCTCATTATTAGGACAAAATTCTCAACACCCACAGGTTAAAGGAGGAAAGGCTTATTTTAGCTTACAGTTTGTAGAGGTTTCAGTCCATAGCCAGCTGGCTCCAAGGTGGGCGACATGGCAGAGTGGCACGGCAAAGGAGAAGCTGTGTATGGCAGGGCCAGCGGGAAACAGCAGACTTCCTTCTTCTTTCTCTTGTGATCCCATCCAGGCTACAATCCTATTGGTTGGTGCTATCTACACCAAGTGGGTTTTTCCTCTTCAGTATATACATCACCCACACCCAGAACCATGCTAACCCAATCAGTGGATTGGTCCAATATCACACACCATGACCCAGTCATCCCCCAAAGCTCCACATAAAAAGATAAACTGTGGTGGGGGGTCATCTAGATAGAAGCCATAAGAGGTCTATTTTGGGGTGGCATATTCTGTCTTGCACAGATCTCATGCAGATACAAAAGAAACAAATATCACTGTATTATTGTAGTAGGGAAGAGGGATCACAGACTTGGAATTCATAAGGAGGCATTTTATTTGATAAAAGTATTAATGCTGAAAAAGAAGGTGGAGAATGTCCAGCCACAAGCCGAGGGGTCTGTCCCCCATCGCAGGTCTCAAGGCATTACAGGGTGACGCTTCTCTTCTACTTGTGGCCATGACCTAAGACTTCTCAGAACTCCCTATGGATAGGAGGAAACATGACACTGGGAGAAGTGGTCCTCTGATTGTACAGGGAAGGGAAAAGTGGGAGCTGTCACCAAAAGCAAAAAATATTTTGAAGGGTGCTGGTAATGTTCATAGGAGTGTGGTTTTCTCAGAATCTGAGACTCAAGGACTACCCCAGCCCACAGGAAGTGGGCATCTTTTACCCAAGAAACATGCAGTTCTGGAACTCCTGAGGTTGCTAGCGCCCCTCTGGGTGCTGGGACTGGGCCTGGGCCAGGCGGAGCCTTAGCTCTCATGAAACACACTGTGCTAGTGAAGGCCCACATTGCACACAGAGAAACTGGTAAACAGATAAGCAACAACTGGAAGTAGCCTCCAGTAAGGAGAAAACACCCGAGGGAAGGTGTAGAAAGTAGGCACATGGATATTCACATCACACAGTTATCAGGAACTGCATGTGAGGAAGCGGCTGAGCCCTTTGCAGCACAGCTCCTAAGGGCCGACTCCCCGGAGCAGCTGTGTGTCCATCAGCAGGTGAAGGTACAGAGAGAACAGCGGAGCACGACTGTGCCCTGAAGGGGATAACCCGAGTCAACTGGAGGAGACCAGGATGAAATAAACCGAGCGCTCAGCCTTAAACATGCATGGCGTACTCTGTACGAGAAGCCCGAAAGATAAAGAACCATTAAAAGACAAGTGATAGGGCCTAGGGAGACAGATCTTTCTCAGAGGGGCAGAGGACCACTAGATGGGCGCAGGGGAAACAGAGAGGCCAGAAGGGGATAAGACATCAGCGAAGACTTGTGGTGTCCACACCCCACTCTGCACAAGCCATGGAAGCCTCACGTACTGCCACTGCGGACCTATTAGGGAAAATAGAGCAAAAGTAACAAGGCTAAAAAAATTGAATTAAAGTTTGAAAAATTTAAATTTTATGCGATCCCCAGTATCAAAAAAATTTTTAAGGGGCAGAATAAATTCTCGGAGGTCGATAAAGGAAACAGTCGTTCTGCAGATGGCTGTGACCGTGGCGAGGTGATTTTGAGGTCAGAGCCCACGCTGGCTGTCCGGGTCTCTCAGGCACTGTAGTAGCCCCTTCCTCCCAGCCTCGCTGCGGTCTGACTCAGGGTGCCAGCTCCAGCTCCGCGGACGCCCCAGCACCAGCAGTGAGCCTGCTGAAGAGCGCATGCGCAGTCTGGGCACTTCTCAGCCTGAGGTGCAGCCTGTAACCTGGGCTGTGGCCAGGCGCCTCCAGCAGTGCACCTCCAGCGTCTGGTCCGGGCCACTGTCACCTATCTAGGCTCAGCATAAGCCTTTTTCCTCATTTCCGTTATCTCATGTTCCGAAGTGCTACTGAGTTTGTACTTCTCGTGCTGCTTCTTCACTGCCATCCCACTGTCTTCTCTCCCCACCCCTGGGGGTGGCAGAGAGGAGGGCTGCCCAGAAGGTGTGAGGACCCCAGCTGCTGGGGTCAGCTGGGAGCAGCCAGGGAACGGCCTTGCAAGCCACCAGATGGCCTGCAGGTGCATTGGGCTGTTCAGCCTGCTAGCTATTATTAAAGTCATTTGATATGGAGAAACTGAGGCACTGATGTTGAGCAAAGTGCCTCAAGTCTCGTGGCTAAGAAGGGGCAGAAATGGGCATTAAACGCCCATGCTGCTAAACACCATCCACTTATTTACCCAGAAGGATTTGTTGATCAGCTATTATATGCCAAGCACTTGCTATTGGGAAGTCAGTTTAGCATCCGCAGCTGAACCTTCATTTATGCAGAAGAAAATGAAGTCCACAGAGGTGCAGGGATGCTAAAAGAAGGTGGATACAAATGCAGAGTACATGTGTCCTCTCGTTCCTCTGATTAAACTCTGGAAAGTCAACTTTTTCCCTGCCACTGAGCTTCTGGGGTCTCTCTGCTCTCTGCTTGAACTTGAGGAATGTACAGCTTATATTCCTCCTGTTCCCACAGCCTCCAGGCCCCCAAAACATTTGGTTTCAATTAAGTCCACAGACAAAGGCCTTACAATGCGGCCTCCCCGTGGCGGACCCCAGCAGCCGTCTCCTTACCTGCCCTCACTGCTCCTCACTGCTTGTTACAGTCACAACTAGGACTTGCGGGTCAGGGACCTGGGCACAGCCAGGGAGAAGCTTGCCCAGTTTCCCAGCCAGGTGCACACAGCAGGGTGGTTTCTCTTGAGAATCCTGGGGTGGAGTCACACAGTCCAATCCGGAGGATGCGTGCATTTGCGGAATTGTGTGGTTTCCTCCTGAAAGATCTTGCTGTTTGCACAGCTTCTATGCCTTGGTTCCAGAGAAGCTGGGTTCACATTCTCAGGGTTCACAGCCAGCTGTGCACGTAAGCGCAGCCTGGCTGCTCCCGTGCACCGCACCCATTGGGGACCCTGGAAGACTTAGCAGGAAGAAGAGGCCTGAACTTTGCGGCCCACTGTGTCCCAGCTGCCGCTGCGATTCAGTAGCTGATACTGAAGAGCACAGGATGAGAGGCCCCGGTTCACTCCTTTACATCCCGAACCCGTTTTTCCCCTCTTTGTATCTTGAAACTTTCCAGAGTACGTAGTGACGATGGTTTTAGCATCCTACATCTCTTCCGGCAGCTTTCCTTGGCTTTTGGGGGCATGTTTCTTCATGGACACATTCCTAAGAATCTGGGCCTTGTTAAAGAAACAAATGTAGAGTTCAGTATTCGTATTCCACCCCTCTCTACCGAAGAGAAAAAAGTCTAAATGAACCATCATTTCCCCCCAGAATCTCAAGCTTGGGCCCTAGAAAGTAAGTCTAGGTGTCTATGAAGCCGGCCCTCATATTAAGATAGGAAAACAAACACAAAGCCAAAAGAAAACTCCAAACAATGGAGAAGCAAATGTCTGAACCACATTTGCAGTCGTTTGTTGTCATGGGAAACTGGGTCGGTCCTGTCTCTTCGCTGGGGACTGTGGGCATCTGAGAGAAGCAGCCATGGCCATGGCAGACACAAGTTACACATTTGCCAAGACAAGAATCCACTGAGAGACGTGAAGCTGGGCTCTGCGTGGAGGAATCCTCACAAATTCGCCACACAACTAGACCCAGTTTTGAGAAGTGTGGCTTTTAGGCTACAGTGATGGAATATGTTAAGTTAAATATTTTACTTAGTAAAGAAAAAAGGGGTATGCAAGCCCAAGGCTGCCTCTGTGCCTGCTGCCCTGAGAGGAGGGTGGCTGGATCACTCGTGACCTGCTCTTCTCTCTCCTCCGGAGACAGAAAGGCTGCCTTGGGACGAACCTGACCAACCGCTCAGCGTTTTGCTCCCGGTTAGGATTGATTCCAGATGTGGGAGGTAAATGCTAGAAGGAATTTGGAACATGGAGTGGAAATGAAAAATCCCTCGGGCCATTTGGTGTTGATGACAGATGAGGTATGTACAGGTTAAGTAATGTACTCTCGGGCGCGCGGAGAACTTAGTCCATAGACATTTAACAAGCAGAAAGATGCAGCAGGGGCGTCATGTGTGACGGAGGCCAAACTGGGAAGTACGGGGTCCTAAGAGTTACACAGCAAGGTGAACGCAAACACGGCTACTCTGCAAGTGAGGTCAGTTTTTCTCATGGTTTGTAAAGATGTGCTTTTCACTTCAGTGCCTCATTATTTAATCTATCATGGCTTATTACTTGAAGAATCATTGCAACAAGTGTTCACAAGGGTAGGTCAGTAAGGCAGAATAGGAGACAGAAGAGCAGGGGAGAGATGACCACCGACCAGGTGGAGTGACCCAGGGTTGGTTTTAAATATTGGCTCTGCTGTTTCCTAAGTTAATTTTGAGAAAATTACTCTCAGCCTCAGTTTCCTGATCTATAAAATGAGCACACAATTAGTATTTATTTTGAATTGTGAGAATTAAATGAGGTAAAGTACATAAAGGGATTAAGGCTAAAATTCAGGGAATTCTTAAATAAAGTCAAGCTGACATAATAGTTTTGGGTATTCTGCAAATGCAGGTTTGGCCACGAGATGCAATATGATCCTGCCTGATAGAATTTTATGTGATGATTTTAAGCCACTTAAATGTGTCTATCATTTTCAATTTTAGTATTGGTATTTCTGTTAGAGTTCTGGGTTCCAAGCAAACAGCATACAACTTGTGAAGATCCCATGAAAGATAACAGGGGCCTCAAAGAATTAAAGGATTCCAGAAGGTGAGCCTTGGGTATAGACAGGAAGTCCAAGAAGAAAACAGGAAGGAAAAGAGGAGACACAGAAGCCTCTGATCTCCAGGCCAGACAGCAGGCAAAGGGTTTCCCAGCATTCCCTTTGGTCCTCAGTCACCAGCCCCGCATCTGAAGTCTCACAACAGGAGATCGCTCCCTTCTAGCCAGCCTGAGGTCACACTCCAAGCCCTCGGTGAGCTGGAGGACAGGGAGGGGAAAGACCTGAGGAAAAGCTCCTGAAATTACTCCCCACTTCGACCACACACAGGGGAAAGTGTGTGCCGGTAGCCAAAACCCATGCTGTCCTTCACTACTGACCCAGCCTTTTCTAACGCTTTCACAGAATTTTCATTTTCTTTCAGACTGCATGTTCCTGGGACCAGGGCCACATTGCTTCTGTCCTATTCCCATTTCTACGAGCTAAAAAGACCCGGAGGCTGCCGTTAGACTCTCCTGAGTGAGTGTGAGGTGGAAAGTGGAGTCCAGATTTCATTTCCAACCTCTCCTTTTCCAAGATTTGTCAGGCAGGGAGGTGAGCAGATGCCAGCGCTGAGAGGAGATCTCACACACACACACACACACACACACACACACACACACACACACACAGAGGCGCACATGCGCGCGCAAGAAACATTGACACCAGAGAGGCTACATCTGGTCATTTCGGTTTCCCACTATACAGGACGGCTTGGTAAGAAGGCGAGTAGGGGCTATCTTTATTCCAGTCTTCTTGTCTTTTCCCAGAATACTCTGCTCATAATTTCACAAAAATTCCTCCAGTTTACTAAGTTTACTAAGCCCTGAAGCATGGTTCCAAGCCAGCCCAGGGCATGCTATTTTCCAACTTGCTCAAAGGTGTTTTACGGACCAGTGGTGGCCCTTGGTCAAAATCACACCACCAAAAGAAAGACTATCTTTTTTTATTTCTTCTCTTTAGTCTGTCTTTTTCATCTTCCTCTTTTCTCCCAGATGCAGAGAACGTTTGGATTTGAAGGGCTTGAACCATCACCTAATCCTGATATTCAGCTAATGTGTGAAATGCCCCCTCCATATAACATCCAAGACAACGGGGCTCTCAGATTTGAGGATCTCCATGAACTGAAAACCTGGGACCACCCTCCCGGACTGCCCTTTTACTTCCTGACAGCTTTGAGGGAAATTTCTCTTCACACTGACCTGAAATACGCATGCTGCTCAGTCCCACACCAGGTCCAGAGAATAAGCCTCACTCTTCTTCCGGTCAGTATGTGAAGGCCAGTAAGTCACTCCTCCACAGCTGTAGCTTTCTCAGTCCTCAGGCAGCATAATTTCAGGCTATATCTGGTAGAAACACCTTGCATTTTCTCTTATTTTTGTTACTGCATCTCTCTTATATATTCTCCAGAAACAAATGTAGTAGCTAAACCCCACCCAAACAAAGCTCATTAGGCTGATGACTAACACTCACAAAATAACCACGACTAGACCAGAGGTTCACAGTATGCCAGGCATCCTGATAAGCACTGATCACGATAGTTAGTTTGATCCTTAGTTCAATGCATTCAGAGATTCTGCTGTTATCTTCTGTTACCGATGAGAAGACCGAGCTTCTTCTGGGAGGTTTACTCACTCACCCCAAATTCCGACCTCTTATAAATGGTAGTGATGGGGTTTAAAGCCCGTGTCCCTAAAACCAGGACTTACATGATAGCCACCTCCCTACACTTCTCAGTGCAGCAGTGTAGATGAAAACTGTGTTAGTCTCTCTTCTCCACTTTCTCCGCCCCTTCCCTTTCCTTCTTTGTCTCTGCCATTCCTGTTGACATATCAAAGCCTTCTGTTCCTGTAGAACACTAGAGAAGGGTAATTTAACTGAGCAAGTTTCTTTAGGCGCACAGTTTCGGAGGTCACGTGGCTTCCCTGCTCCTGGGTGTGACCAGGCGGAGCACGGTGGCTGGGAGGGCACGGCGACAGTCTCATGGTGTCTGCGGAACAGAGGAAGAGAGTCAGCTTGGCTGTGAGGCAGGCTTCCTCTTTCTTCTTTTTTGTTCCTTCTGGGCCTGCACCCTATTGGATGGTACCACCCACATTCAGGGAGGGTTTTGCCCATTGGTTTGTTGCCCCACATGCCAATCATCTCTGGGCTCGCCCTCACAGCCCCACCCTGGAAGTGTGTTTGATTGACTTCCGAGGCGTTTCTCATTGTTAGTTGACAATCAAGATTAACCTTGTCTATGACAAGCTGGCTACTCCTGTGTGGTGCCAGGACTGACCCTACAGACAGTTCTGTTGCGTGAAGTATTCTTGATAGAATTTTTACTGGTGAATTCTAGGAATTAAAAATACAGCAAAAGTAGTTTGGGTGGGAGCAGGGAGTAGCGCACCTGAACCTTCATTATGAACTCTGTGCAAGCGTCAGGTTGCTCTTCAGATGGCCGTTGGCTTAGTAGTTTGCTGGGGACTGTCGGGCAACTAAAGGAGCGCTGAGGGCAGCCACTGGTGCAGCTGAAAGGGCCCGCAGCCAGAGGCAGACAGAAGCTCGGCCGGTCCTCTGCCTCTGCCCATCTTCACTCAGCACTGGGGAAATCTGCATTAGGGGATGGGCCGCATCTCCATGTTGCTGGACTTTGCCTCCTCCCATTTTTTCCAAGCCCTCCTCACTGGCTTGAATTCTGGCCTTGTGGGACCTGATTCCAGTACTTCAGGGGATGACGGCCAACTCCCAAGCCAGCCACAGGTGAGTGCAAGGGATTTTCCTGGAGCCACGTGACAGCAACCTCTCCAGAGTTCTTTCAAATAGTGCACCATTTCACTAACTCTGTTTCCACAGGTGGAGTAAGTCTCCCAACTAACTATCCTGGAATCCTGGAATCCTGGAAGTCCATATGTCCCAGTCACCATGGCATGGCTCTCCTTGGCTGTCAGTAACAGAACAGTGGTCAGTTCTGTTAGGATTGTGCCTGGGAAAACAGGAGTGAATCAGTGACCTGAGTCCAAGTGTAAAATTAAGAGGCAAAATCCAGAGAGTTCTGACCTTTGTGCTCTGGGGCCAGGGTTCTCTCAGTTTCTCTCATGTATGTATCTCAGCCCTCAGCTTCTGCATGCCTCATGGTGGGCAGTCAGAGAGCCGTCTATGAACATCAGTTTCTATCACACCTGAAGGTGCATCCAGGTGCATCCAGGCTGTGAAACAGGGAATCCTTAAAACTGCCTGCCATCTATGCCTGGAATCCTGAAATCTGGGCTTCCACTTTGCTTCAGGTCCTACTTCCATAGATAAAAGGGTCTCATAATCAATTTTTCTTTCCACTATCACTGATAACTCAAAACCAATCCCTTTGGTGTATTTTCTGATGCTTTCCTGTTAAATCTTCCCTCATGTAATATCTAAGGGAAATTTCAAATTTTGGCCTCTTTTGAGTTAGCCATATGTTGACTAAATCAACAATTCAAATCAGAGGTTTCACTGGCTAAAAAGATTTGTCGAACCTCTCACCTCGTAGGCAAGAAACGCTATATTGAAAACCATCAGGGCTTAGCTTAACTGTTCTATGTGCAGTGGAGCCCACTAGGTGGCATCTCAACACACAGAAAGCTGGGTGTATGAGGTAGAGACAAATCCAATACAGGGTTTTAAAAATAGGTTTTGAATTGCATTGAACTAGATGGTTGTAATAGTATCAAAACACTCAGCATTGGTGAACTGGACAGTTCTGTGGTGAAGGAACTGTTTCTCTATTAGATAAGAGCTGTTCTAATAGAATCCCACCACGCCGGCTGAGAATCCTGGCCTGAAATTGCCTATGAGGGTGGAGGCTGCCACTGCGACACCCCGGCAGATAGCTCCAAGAGAGGTAAGGTGGGATGAAAAGACAGAATCGGCAGAAAATGCAATACAAAGAGGATTAAATTAAAAAATTAACAGGCTCTCTGTGGTCATTTGGGCCACATGTAGAAACCCAGCGAGGCCCTTTGTCTCAGTGTGCTGTGTGGCCGTAGTGGGACTTTCTGATGAGCAGAGATGCCGGGGCTCACAGGGCTGGGGGCTGGGAAGTCTGCTGCCAAGGTGCCTGCATCTGGAAAAGGCCTTTTTGCTGCTTTGTGTGGTAGAAGGAAAGTGCGAGAGAGTGCACGAGAGTACAAGGAAGCCAACAAGAGGCCCAGGGCCACTGTCCAGGCTGCTACTGCTTGGTTCTCAAAAGTTTCACAAAGGCCACGCATTGAACATGGATGTCAGCTGGGGGTGCTGCTGGGCAGGGTGGAGGGGCCTGCAGGCAGGAAGGGAGGCTGTTGATGTAGGCTCTTGAAGGGGAGGGACACGGGGACCTCGGCACTTCCCATCTCTCTGTGTGCTGGCCACCATAAGGGGAGCAGCCTCCCTGCATACTCCTGCTGCCATGCTGCCCAGTGTCACTGAAGCCCAAAGCAACATGGCCAGCATCATGCACTGCACCCTCAGAACCCGTGATCCAGAGTAAATCCCTCGTCCTCTCCAGTTGTTATCTTAGTCTAACTTCAGCTGACGTGAGGCTGGAGCCTCCGAAGCCTCCTCCCAACATGGTTACACAGCACTGAGACTCCAACGTGAGCTTCGGAGGGACCTTCACACCCCAGCAGGCCTTCTCTGATGGCTGGAATTTAGGGGTTCAAGGAATGGAAGCAGTTTGGGTGAGGAGGGGAATGCACCCAGGACAATCCCCACCCCAGGGGTGCACATCTGTTCATGTCAAGTTGCAACGATTCTCTCCTTGAACAAACTCAGGCTCCTCTGGGCACTTTTTCAACCTTCAGATGTCTGGGTTCAACCCTGCTAAGTCAGCCTAGCTGTTCTCCATGTGGGATCAGCTGCGGTATCTAAGCAGTTCTTTCTCTGCCATCCACCACGCCCTGCCTGCTCGTGCTGGGCTCCCTGAGCAAGACCTGTGAGGGCGGCATAGCCAGACCGCTGGCCTGGGGCTGATGGTCCTTCTTAACTGTCCACCCCCTGTCCCACCCTGCTTCCTGGCCACCAGTCCCCCTCTCTCCTTGCACTGGAGTTAGACCGAGTCTCCATCTTCCACTGCCAACCTGTCATAGTGCTCTTTGTACCTATTATAATGGCCCCGGCCTTCGTGCTCTTTAGCAAGTCTTCTGAATAATTTTGCTTTGCTGGAGTCTCTCTATTTGGCTAACAGTATGTTTTTAACCTTCTGCCACCTTTCAGATTTGATAAAAATCACTGTAATAGCTATGTGCTTTGTGCAATGATATTTATCATTTTCATTTAATAAAAGTCCAGCTTTTCAAAAAGTTATTCTGAAGATCTGAGATACTTATAGTCTTTCTTGACTTTAAACCCAGGCAGGTTGCCCCTCCTTGGGTTTTCACAGCTCGTTGTCTCTCTCAGGCTCCTGTGTTACATGGGTTCATAGATCACTATGTGGAGCCTGTCACCCTCCAGACTGTGAACTCAGCCAAGATGGACAAATAGACCATCTTCCTCACCGGTGAGGTGTACAGCCAGGCACTTGCAAAAACCAGCTGCTGAGTGAACACAGATGAATTTCTAAGGAAGAAAAATGCATGCATTGATCTCTGAGCTAAAAGCAAAGCCATCTCTACAGCGTGCGTCTCAAAGCTGTGCCTCCCCCTGCATTCCCAGGAATTCCAATCTCGGTTATGATGATGACTCTGGCCTTGGGCTTCAAATCACCACCAGAAGCAATTGCGTCCTAAGGAAGCCATCCAGAAATGCCGGGCTGCACATCTAAATCGAAGGCATTCTGTGAAATTAACATTTATGGACCACCAGTGGACAAAGCAGCAAAACTCTACAGGAAATGTTTAGAATTTTCCCTTGCTAAGGTGTCTCCCAGTGTTCTAAGTTGTATGTAAATGTGTTCTCATCAGTTCCTTCATCAGATGCCCATAGATAGATGCACAGGAAGTGGAATACACTGTAGTACAAAATTTTCCATAACTTTTGTAAAAAGACAGCCTTGCAGACAGGGTCGGAGCTTCCAGCTGCTTCTGACAAGGCCACGTTAGAGATGTCTGTCACAGAGGTCATGACTTAGGCTGTGGCATTTGACCACTGGTTTGGCATTGACATCTTGAGAGCTTGAGCAGTTTCCCTGGCATCTGTCTCACGGGGTAATATTTTGACAAGGATAAAAGTAGCAGCTACACTGTAGGGTCATTGGGAGGGCTGCAGGAAACGGCATGGAGGAACTCAGCATGGTGTTAGATCCATGCAAGAGACAGTGAATGGTGTTTACTGTTGCCGTCATTACTGTCTAGGTGGCTTTGCTTAGGAGCTCTTTGTGGCCACCGGCAATCTGATGGGCATTCTATAGGCTCTTCACATCTCTCAGTTCTGCCCTCTGGAATGAGCAGAAATATACTTCAAGCATGTTCTAGTTTCGTACATTAGTGCCAGAAGCCAAAGAATGATGGTCTATTTCTTTCTTTCTTCTTGGAATAACCTTTTCTCTTTGTTATTTTTAAGATCAGTGTCCCTCCATCCATCCATCCTTTCTTCCTTTCTTCCTTCCTTCCACCCAGGCACCTGTTGCTAGGTCCGGGCCCTTGTGTATCCATGGACGTTGCCTCTGGAGGTGTAAAGGCATGAGGCATGGACCAGAGACACTAAACACCAGAGGCATTCAGCTTGCAGAATTCCTGCTATTTCCACCCTCACTGTGTACAGAGGGAGGCAGTCGAGGGTCCAAGAGGAAGGGGAGGCATAAGGAACTTGGAGTCTGGAAAGGGGAGGCCAAAGCCATCAGGGGTTTAGTTCGCACCTAGTCCTGGCGCTCTGCCGGCCCGAAGTAGGGCTGTACTTGAAGAAACAGACTGAGGAAAATATAAGACTCACATTGTCAAACATGGAAACAAACAAAACCCCAAGCACCCTTTCCTGTCAGGCAAGGATGCTCTGAGCAGAGGAAGGACGAGGAGAGCAGTGTGTCTTCCCCATCACCCAAGCAGCTCCCAGAGCCAGTGTTGAGAAGAGGGCTCCTCTTCAGCCTTGGTCTAGTTCCCACCGAGAGGCCCCACGAAGTGTGGCTTGATGGCGCTGGGCGGCGGGTGTTGGCAGGGCTCGCAGATTTTATCTGAGAGGCAGGGCAGTGGCTACTTCACGGGGTGTTTGAGAGGACTGAATGAAATAACCAGTGTGAGTGTCTCACTGGCAGTAGGGAGGCCGCGGATACCAGGTTCAGGACTCAGACACAGAAGCATCACCCTACTGGGCTCTGGTGTCAAGTGGGACTGGTGAGAAGCACCCAGGATCACACTGCACAGGACTTAGTACAGAGAGTCTAGCAAAGGCCGTGCCAGCCCAGAGCTGGGGATGGGCAACAGAGAGAGAGAGAGAGCAGGGGTTCCTGGGGCGCTGGCCTCACAGCCAGGCCTTGAAGGGTAGAGAAATTTGCTTGGATGCAGTTGGTGCTCGACACAGGAGTTCCCATGAGGCCAACTAACCAGTCCCCTGAGAGCAGGAGAGACCAGGCTCACCTGGAAGAGGCACTGAACAATGTGGCCCAGCCCAAGCTGGCCATACCTTTGCTTTGGCTGAGGTCTCTTCCTGCCCTTTCTCCATGCTCACCGCTTTTAGAGGTGACCCTGATCCCCCATGTTGACCATCTTCGCGGTTGGCTTAGCACATGGAACCTACAAAGAGGCTTCCGAGGCAGTCAGGACGGCTGCTACATGGTACTTGCAAGACGGTGTAGACTGTGCTGCAAATTGGTGCAGCCACTGGGCGGGCTGGGATGTATGGGTACAGAGAATGCAAAGCAGGGCTTGCACACTTTCTGGATCCGGCCAGTGTCCCAGCAGGGAATGGCGCCAACGGAAAAACCATACCAGGAAGTGAGGACTCCAGCTAGCCACCCCTGATGGATGCGAGGCACGTGGCCCAGGGAGCAGAGGATGGCATCAGCCATTGCTCTGGTTTCCGGGGAGATGAGGCTCCTGTGGTCCCTGAGCCAGAGACAACTCTGGTCACGTTTCCCAGCTTTACTGCACTGGAGGCCTCCTTGGTGTCCAGTGGAGATGCCTCTCTGGCTGCTGCTCTGTCTCCTCCTGCTAATCTCCAGCCCTGGGCATGAGTCACCCACTTCCACTGATGTCCCCCACCTGGCTGGTGGCTGCCCCATGTTCCCACAGCACCGAAGGGCTGCAAACGCACCTTGCAGAAGCCTGAGGGGGCGCAGCTTGGCCTTAAGAATTTGTTCACCAGTGCCCATGGTGCAGGTGGGGAGAATGAGCTTCCACTACATTTCAGGCCTGAGACTGAACTTCTGTGAGCTCCGCTGACAGCCAAAGGAAGAATGGAGTGGCAGAGGGACGGTTGATCTTTGACCCTGGCCCATTGATGGCTTTTGTCATCGCTGTGGGTGGCTGCTCTGAACAGGAAAGCATTGTCTCCGGGTCTATTGTGGACCAGCCCGCACAGACGTCCTCACAGGATGTAACCTTTAATCAGGGACGTGTTCTTCCACCCAGGGCCAGAGGTGGATGGGTCAGGCAGATGAAGCGAGTTTAGCGACACTGCAGAGCCGGCTGCAGAGGAGGCTGTATGAAAGTGTGGTAACAGAAGTAGAACCTGGTATCCGCGGACTCCCTACTGCCAGTGAGACGCTCACACTGGTTATTTCATTCAGTCCTCTCAAACACCCTGTGAAGTAGCCACTGCCCTGCCTCTCAGATAAAATATTCCGAAGTTTAGTCTTTCCTTCTTTCTGTGTTTGGCATAAGCAGTAAGTGAGGTGGGTCTGTAACTTCGTCCCAAGCAATGATTGCAGGGGCTGAAAACATCTATGGTTTGGGCTAAGCCTCATAGTTCAGGAAAGGAGTTGAAAACTAAAAG